ATCATTATGTTTGGGATGTATTTTAAAATAATGTAAAATAGTTGTTTGTCTGCGTTAGTTAGCTCATTACCAAAACACAGGTTCATTTTCTGTCTTGGCTATGATTTCCTTTGACATAAATGAGAACCCAGTTCCTAGCTTATTTGTTGATATATATGTTTAGACAATGAAATGTAGGTGAACTGTATCCTGTCTTTCTATTATACATAGTTAAGTCTATTAGGATGAACCCTTTCCTACTTAGGGGATGGAATGAATTATTCTGTGGAAGTTTCTCTATTTACTGCTGTGGCAAAATGTTAAATTAGATCTCTTAAAAAGTGGCTCTCAGACTAGAAATTCCCCTGTCAGGATGATATTGGCTCCTGGCTGCATGTAATTACCATTGACACAGTTTCATGTCACATGTGGGAGCGGGAACACAAGCCTTTACAGAATATTCCGAAGAGTAAGAATAAAAGCGTTTATCCAAACAGTGGGCCCAGACACCAAGAAACAAAGAAAGATCTTGAACTTTGATCTTGTGTATACTGGATGAATACTTTAGTTCTTGTGTAACTGTGTAAAAGACTGGGATCATCATATCAGTATCTTTTAATATATAAATTGGGGGGAAAAAAAGAACTGTTGATATTATTAATTGAAGCCAACTTCCCTTTGTCATAATTTCTATATAATCAAGCAGAATGTTTTCGATTGAGGCAAATTTAATTATTAAAAAATAAATTTTCAAAAACATTTCAACAATATATGAGAATAGACTCCCTATTGGCTTATTTTTCCTTCATGTGATCAGAGTTTTACTGAAGGTAACCTGCCACTCAAATATTCTGTTTTATTAATTTTGAAAAGTATTCCACTATGTATCAGCAAAATATTTAATGGTGTCAGTTCACCAAAAAAGCATTACCATTAATTTTTTGCATTATTTTTATTAAATTGATTGTATTGCACATGAACAGCTTGATCAGAACTGATATGAAATTACGTCTGCTTGAAAAGTTGTGAATATTTGTATAGGCAGAAAATAATTAGCAAAGATGGTGCTAAGCTGAACCTCTTACTTTGAATAAGTTCTCAGAAATGAATTTTTGCCTCATATATGGATAACAATTTGCAAGCAGTCACCCTTTTATTACACTGAGTTGCTTGCTCAAAGAAAAATGCCATACTATGAATTGCTAACATCACTTCCCGCAGTAGCTGTGGTCTCCTTGGGGTTCTTTTGGCCAAGTACCAAGCTAGCTCTGCTTGTGACATTTTGTTTGATAACATCGTAAAGTGGTAAGGCCATGGAACGTATACATAGCACTATGCACTAATAAAGTGTTTATCCCTTAATGTCTCCCAGATGCTTGCCTATAGCTTTTTCCAGAAGTAAAGAGAATGTGTTGGCTGGATGCGATCTGTTTATATTGTCTGCTGGGTCTATGTGATAAGTCACGTTCTTTCTTCCTTTGTTTTTGTAGAATCAGTAAAGCAAGTGCTGCCTTAAAGGTCTATTCCTCCATGTGTAACAAATGCCAGGTCCATTAAATAGCTAGGATCAAATGGTGATAAAATCAGAGGAGAGAAGAACCTCATTGAGGGAAAAGCAGTCAATAATCTCTGTTACATGAAATTACAAAATTCTGTGAGACTCATAATATTTAACTCCAGGGAGTTTTGGAGTTTTTAGAATGAAAGCAGTCAATAATCTCTGTTACATGAAATTACGAAATTCTGTGAGACTCATAATGTTTAACTCCAGGGAGTTTTGTAGTTATTAGAATGAGCAGAAGAGTTCCCAAATTTAGGAGACCATTCAAGACATATTATTCTGCCATTCAGTGAGTGGTAAAGAATCCCATGACACTTGGGATTCTTTATTACTTACCTTTTGACACTGTTATTTATGGTCAGAAGAGTTCCCAAATTTAGGAGACCATTCAAGACACAATATGTTTATTCTGCCATTCAGTGAGGGATAAAGAACCCCATGACGCTTGGGATTCTTTATTACTTACTTTTTGACACTGTTATTTATGGTAGTTGATACAGGTGAAAATGGCAAGTGTTGTGACTACCTTTGTACTTACAGTTTGAACACTTATAAATCACCAGCAGGAGCAGTGAGTGCTGTGGGGCAGCAGAAAAATGAAACCCTGAATCTTACCCAGGCAAGAGTAGCTGTTCAGGTAAGGCAGAAAATCAATTAAAGAAAAATCAGTTGAAATATTCTTACAAGTCAGTAAAATGAAAATATAATGTTGGAAGTTTTTCATTTTTTACTCTGTCTGCTGGTTTTGGCTGGCATAGAGTTAAGTGCCTTCCTAGTAGCTTGTATGGAGCTGTGTTATGGATTTGTGACCAAAACCATGTTGATATCACGGCAATGTTTTAGTTACTGCTGAGCAGCCTCAAGGCCTTTTCTCTTTGTCACTCCACCTCAGCAGTGAGGAGGCTTGGTGTGCACAAGAAGCTGAGAGGGGACACAGCCAGGACAGCTGACCCCAAGCGATGAAAAGGGAAATTCCAGACCGTATGGCATCATGTTCAGTATATAGAGCTGTGAGTAAAGGAAGGAAGGGTGAGACATTTGGCATTTGTCTTCCCAAATCACTGTTAAAGCTGAGAGGGGACACAGCCAGGACAGCTGACCCCAAGCGATGAAAAGGGAAATTCCAGACCGTATGGCATCATGTTCAGCATATAGAGCTGGGAGTAAAGGAAGGAAGGGGGAGACATTTGGAGTGATGACATTTGTCTTCCCAAATCACTGTTGCACATGATGGAGCCCTGCTTTCCTGGGCATGGCTGAACACCTGTCCCTGCCCATGGGAAGTGGTGAATGAATTCCTTGTTTTGCTTGTGCAAGAAGCAAAAGCTTTGCTTTACCTATTGAACTGTCTTTATCTTAACCTGTAAGTTTTCTCACTTTTGCTTTTCTCATTTTCTCTCTCATTTTGATGCATGAGGAGTAGGTGAACAGTTGTGTGGTGCTTAGTTGGCAGTTGGAGTTAAACCAAAACACTTTGTCATGAGGTACTAGGTAATATTTTTGAAAATGTTTAAATGCTTTTCAAGCCCAAGTACTCTTTCAATTGCAATACAGACATTTAGGCCCAGACTATTTACGCTTGTCAAAGCACTTCACAGTGTATGCAATTTATTCTGTCTGTTATAGCAGCATCTGCCAGCATAGTGATCATCATCAAGGATGTGATCTTTGGTTGACAGCAGAAACTTCCATTATACAAACAGTTGTACTGTCAAAACTGAACTTTTGCTGAATTAGCTAATTTTACTTGAAAGGACTGGAAGAGAAAATGTTAGTGTAGGCACAGCCTTGTCAGGATGACACACCAAATACCTTCAGATCTGAATTTTTCCTAGTCCAAAAATAGTTTTAAATGTGTGTCCTACTTCACAAAAGTGCAGAACTGCAAAGGTTCACTGTGCAATATCCAGGACAGGGTTGTGGGTCTTCAAGTTTACCTGTGGAATGTCTAAGTGTTATGGACATGGTCCTCCAGAGTCCCACATCCCATATTCACATGCCTCCCTGTGCACACTCTCTGAAGCACTTTGGAAAAAAATCCACACAGTCAGCACCTTGAAAAAAATTGTAGCTTAAAGTCAGCTTTCTAATGGGAAAGCTTTCCTGAGAGAGCCACTAAATGCCAAGCACAGGGACAATCCCCAGATGCCCCCTTCTGCATATCCCTACAACAGTGCAAGAACATAACTTTATCTACTGAAGAGCCACAGGTAAGCAAGGATAATGCAAAGCTCATAATCTTTATTTAGAACTCCACCTTTTTGGTGTGGCAGAAACAGTAGCATTCTGATTCACTAACAAACATATAATGATAACAAGTATCTAGAGAGCAAGAGACTCATTTGTCTGTAGTACCTGAGGAGAGCAAATCAGCTGTATCTGCCTGTCACATGGGAGGCTATAGATACTTTCCACGTGTTGCACTATAGCAGTGCAAAGAATGATAACCCTATGTTGAAGAACATAGCAGCAATCTTATGGTCAGGATTGACAGCTACAGAGGGGAGAGAAGCATAATGAACTATATTTTCATTGCTTCAGATTAAGACTTTTCAAGAAGATATGCCGTAGTCATATGCAAACTTTTTGTTCTGTTTTGAAAAGAACCAGATGAAATATAATCACCATTCATATGCTGACAGTCAGTTTAAATGACCTAACAGGTCCCTTTTGGCCTTTATTTCTGTGGTTCTATATGCCAAAGTATTAATATTAACTGGAAATTATCAGGTAGACTGAATAAATTCTGTATGATTTACTTTACATTGGCCTAGATAAGAATTAAATAGAGGTGAAACAGATTTAAATATATGAGAAGCTAAAAAATAAAGTAAAAAAAATAAGTAAAAAATATAATGTTTGCATTATTACTGTTCCCCCCTCAAAACACTTGGTTCAACTTATTTTAAAGTACATTTAGTGTTTTAGGAAACCACTGCCTTAACAGCAACCAAAAAAAGATGATATTTTCTGTACTAAGGATAAAGTAACAATTATGATTAGCTGGGTTTTTCTAGAATACCATAGAATGTTTGGGTTAGGAGGGACCTAAGAGGTCATCTAGCTCCAGCCCCTCTGCCATGGTCAGGGTACATCTTCCACTATTTCAGGTTGCTCAAAGCCCCATCCAGCCTGGCCTTGAACACTTCTAGGCATGAGGCATCCATAAGTTCCCTGTGCAACCTGTTCCACTGCCTCGCCACCCTCACAGTAAAAAATTTCCTCCTAATATCTAATCGAAGCCTACCCTCTTTCAGTTCCTCCTTATCCCGTCACTCTATTCCCTTGTCCAAATTCCCTCTCGAGTTCTCTTGTATGCCCCTTTTAGGTACTGGAAGTATGCTCTAACCTCTCCTCTCCTCGTCATCCTGTCTCCATAGGAGACCTGCTCCATCCCTCTGATCATCTCAGTGCCCTTCCTCTGGACTCATTCCAAAAGGTCAATGTTCTTCCTTTTCAGGATCCAGAGATAAGTGCAGCATTGAAGGCAGGCTCTCCTGAGAGTAAATAATATCTTTTATGCCTAATCTGGAGAGGGGAGACAACTGAATCAAGTGATCAATTTTTTTATGTACATGCTGAACGCAATGGAAGAGATATGCTTTATAATGCTTGTTTATGGGATATGGGCAATCCTTTGCATGGAACCAGATTGATAATACAGTAAATATATTGGTTTAAAAAAATAACATACATGCAGTGTCTTTTGGTCATTATCACTCAAGACTGTACTTAATAAGTCAGTTGTGTTCTTAAGTCAGTACTATTAAGATCTCTCAAATGATCCCTAGCAATCAGATGGTTGCTTTGTTAAAATGAGTAAGACCTTCTTAGGCTGGGTAGGAATGGGAATTCAGTAGATGCATATAACTCTGTTAAGCTGGTTTACTTCTTTTTTTCCTTCAGAGACACAGCTCTGCCAATAATCTTCACAGCATGTGTGTTAATTCAGTCATGGATTCCAAGCAGCAAACTGAGCAGTAGAAATCTGGGTATGAAAGAAAGAGTAGTTTTTTGTGGCAGATTGCATTATACAAAGGGCCTTGATACAAACCAATTCACAAACTTGTCCTGGTAACCAGGGTTCAATCTGTACCATCAGTAACAAGGTCAGTATACATAGACTTCAGGCAGCTAAAAGTTCACTCAAAAGGGAATATATTAACTATATTTAGGGACTGTAGCTGTAATCAGATCTATGATGAAACTGTGTATGAGACAAAACATTCACATCAATTTAATTTATAAAAATAAAAAATGGCTGTGAACTTCAAATATTTTAAGGTCAGAAGTCACTGTTTGATGTCCTGGTAGGTCATAGGACTTCCATGAATTAATTAGCATTGACTTCTATGAGACTAAGACCTTTACTGTTTGTGTTTTCCCTGTAATTGTTCAAATCACCAGATCAGAAAGAAATTTAAGATATTTTTCAGTTCATTCACTTTGAACTTTTCAATGTTATTTGCAGTCCACTGCATCAATGTCATATGCCTCTATACAAGGAACTCATATGCCCTTTGTCATCTGGGCTCTTGCAAGAGCATGATTCTTATCAGCTCCAGGTAACTATGTGAAAATAAAAATGATAGCAAGCTGATATTTCACAGAGAAAGGGAGGGAGATGAAGAAGAATGAGGTAGACATGGAATGGCATAAATGTGTTTTCTCTTTTCTCTGGATCAGTTTGCAGACTAATGGGACAAGCACATGAGAAAGAGAAGGATATTTTCTATTTCAAGAGGTCATTGAAATGGACTTCTCTGGATTGCTTTTTGCCAATTTTTCTCCTTTCACTTTTTAAAGAAAACTGAAATCTTCAGTATGCAAAAATGGAAGGAGTCTTTTATCTAATTGAAAAAATTGATACCTTTGTGACAATATATGAATATGTAGATTGTGGAAGTTCTTCCCATGTATGTTCCCTTTGTCTGTGCAGACCTGTAAGCATAGGGAAATATGTACCTGAAAAAGCGGCAGTTGACTTTTACTGACTACCACTGGACTTGCATTTCTTTTTTTATTAGTTTTTAAATTATTTTAAAATTGCTTTGTAAACAGACGTAAAGTTTGGAACCCACAGACACTTGTCTAAGTGTCTAAGCAACTAATTCAATATGTTAAATACATACTGTATGAAAGCACTCCTCTTTTATTTATTTTGAATCCTCTTCTTGATCATTAAATTTGATGATCTAGTTTATTTGATAATTTCTTATACTGGACCTTTTCTTTATTTTTATTGGATATGACTGACCTAGTGATAATTTTTCCCCACAGCAGCATGGATGATGCTGTGAATTTGTGATCTAAACAGGGCTGATAACACAGGGATGATTTAGTTACTGCTTAGCAGTGCTTGCACAGTCAAAGCCTTTTCTGCCTCTCACCCCATCCCGGCAGTGAGGAGGCTGGGTGTGCACAAGAAAATGTGAAGGGACACAGCCAGGACAGCTGATCCCAGCTGACCCAAAGGGATGTTCCATACATATGGCATCATGGTCATTGATAAAAGCTTGGGAAAGAATGGGTTCATGGCTATGGAATTTGTTTTCTCAAGTAACCATTAAGTGTGCGGAGATTCTGCTTTCCTCAAGATGGCTGAACACCCGTTTGTAGGTGAATTTGTTTTGTGTGCGCAGCTTTGCTTCATCCATTAAACTGTCTTTATTCTGGTCCATTCTACCTCAGCTTTTGATACTTAGATTTTCTCCCTGATCCCACTGGAGGTGGCAGTGAGCCAGTGACCTAGCAGGTGCTTAGCTGCTGACTAGGATAACCCACCACAACTATCTGACAAAATTTTCAGCTTTCTTCATGAATCTTCTAGAGTTACTACGTTCCTTTCTAAGATTTGAGAACTAGAACGACATATGGTTTGCAAGATGCAAGTGCATCACAGAATTGAATGGTGAAATAACATATTTGTCTGATGTGTTCTCCCTTTCCTTATATTTTTATCATTTTGTTTTCCTGTGTGATAGCTATGGGTAATTTTCTTAGATTATCCATTGTAGTGCAGAGATTTTTTTCCTCAGTGGTAATTAACTATTTCAGAACTCATCACACTTCATGCAATTTAAGATTGATTTTGTCCCATGGGCATAATTTTGCATTTATTAAGACAGAATTTTGTTTGTTAGTTGCAGCATACTTTTAAATCTCCTGTAGGAGTCACTGAGCCAAATAGTACATACAGGGTACTCTTGAGAGATGCTATCCTATACTAATCAAGGTGATAAAAACTACAAAGAAAAAAGGCTCCAGGAATTTGCACTAGATTTTTCAGAGAACTATGGCAAAGATATTTTTGTGCATAATTTTTCTCTTGGAAAAAATGTATATGTCACAGTGATTTATACTGACAAAAGAGAGTGATCCACTTTATCTTCAAATTATGTGACTACTATCTCAAGTTATTAAAAAAGAAGGTTTGTGTTAGGTAATTATTTTTCTACTTTAATAATCTAAAAATGAGCAGATAGTCCTCACATGTTAATGAGCAATATTACATGTCTTTCACTTGAGCTGTATGGTCACTTTGAGCTATACTTTTCTGACACTAATACCTGAGTTCATAGACATAACTAAATACGGTTCAGAGTGGAAATATACATGGGATCATATGACTGAATAGTTTGTTCAAGTAAAATAAAAAGGGGATTAATTTCTCCTTGAAAACATTGGGAGATCCCTTATTAACCTAACATATCAGACCTAAGAAATGTGCTCCTACTGATACATGTGACACTTTTGTAAAAATATTTCAAATTTAAATTTAAACATATTTAAAAAGAAGTTGTCTCAACCACTTGTGATTATTTTGCTGCACTTGCAAAAGCAGTTATTTGTTCTTTTTCCAGAATGGAGTAAATAATAAAGTCATGGTTAAAGACTGGGTCATTCCTGAAGAAAAGTCAAGTCTGTAGCATAATAAAGGTAACAGTATTTGCTGAGGAGGCTGCATATTTATAAGACAATGGCCTAGGAATCTTTCAGATCTAATTTCTTGCTTTTGTTGAAAAGCAAAAGGTCAAAGCAGGTGCGTTGGAAGATGATAAAGTATGCATGGAGTATGTTTTAGAGTAGAATATCAGGGGTAGTTATTTTTATTTTTCTTTATCAAATGATATATTTTTTACTAATCTAAGCCCATTGACACCATTTCAGGTCCCAGAAGTGTTGCTGTTTTGTTAAACAACAAGCAACTCAACAGCTGAAGGGGAGGCGTAAGATGTGGGTTGAAAAATAACGTTTATTCACAGATCTTCACGTTCTCTTCCCAAATAATATCTATCTCTAGCCCAAATTTTTTCCTGACTCTCACAATGCATTAAGTGTTTAAAAACATTATGTTGGACAGGCTCGCCCTGTAACAAGAATCAAAGACATAAAAGACAGAGACATCAAAGATGTAAACATGACAAAATACAACTTGATCACATGTGTATTGGGAATGAACTTATCTTGCTGCACTTTTTAAGTAAAAAGCATTAAATGTGCATTTCGTGTCATGACTGTCCACGATGCATTGTGAATTGTAGTGGCTTTTCTGTCATGCTTCCTCCATTTTGCTTCCCTACCAAAACCCTGACGTACTCAGCATAAGGTGCACATCAAAGATGGAGAAAAAGTAGCAGGCATGATGTACAGGCTGGTAATACTCAGCTGGTGGCAGCATGTTGGGATCATTTTCAACTTGTTGCCAAAATTGCCTCCAGGCTTTGCTGTGATCCACATTTGGGACTTGGCCCAGGAACAGAGTCAGGATGCTGTGAAGTTTGTCTTTGATGCCCATTATCAGCTGTGCCCACTGCAATGCGGGCACAGCTGAAAGTAGGGTCCGGCAGCTTTTGCACTTCTAGGCAAGTCTCTGATCAGCTTTCCAGATTTTCTCTTCCTGGCCTCTCCCTGAGGCAGCTATGCCTGCCTGACACTTGCATTTTTCTCTACACTGTAGCTTTCAAGGAGACCTTTTCTTCTGTGATTTTCTGAAATAAAGCAGCTGTGAGACTTGGAAGTAATGATGTTTTCTGTTGGCACATTCTGCTCCCCCCCAGGAGTAGCACATGCAGTTACGTGATGCTTAGAGCTGACAACAGACAAGGTGACAGCTCTCACAGAGGACACTTCTGGAGAAAGCTTCTTTCAGCCTTCTCAGCAACTCCAAGGTGCTGAGTTGCCTGCATTAAGATCTGTTGACTGTGAGTGTGCTGTGCTCTCTTTCTAGCTTTTTTTTTTTTCTCATATGGGAGAGTATTCCTTTTTCTTAGTTAGATTTGTGTTCCAGTATTTGAAAACTAAGGGGTTTAGCTTCAAATTGCTTGGCTACTGAACTAAATGACTATGTGTGAAAGCCCTTATCAAGGACAGAAAACGTGTGTAACATATCTTATTCAATATTTCACAGTACTGTTCTGCTTGGCTTATGCTTGAGCACTGTAGGAAAATCCAGACTTGATCCCACTTTGTCTCCTAAGTTAAATCCTCAGGAAGCTGCAGGTTAGCTACAGTCAGCTATGAACCAGACAATAACACTACAATTAGTTCTTTTGTGGGTTGTAAATTGAAGACAGAGGTTCATCAGGTGATCTTGCT